CTTTCCCTATTTTATGAAAATTGTCAGTTGATGATTTTCCCCTTTATTTTATTTTATCATGCCGAGAAATAAAGATCAAGATACAATATTGATAAGCAATATACGTGTATTGCTTATTATATAATAATAATAGATAACAATAACAATAATAATAATAATAATTTTATTTAACGTGCGCGAGAAAATGAAGAGTTTTAACAAGTTAAATATGTCTACTTAATTTTTATTTTGTATTTATATTAAAAATATTTTCACAATAAAACTTCATTAATTAGATCTTTATCCGAGAAAAAATATTTTGTTTTAATTGAGTACCAGAGCACAATTATATTGAAAAAAACAACGATAAACTAAAAAAGAAATGAGTAAAGTGTATACTTGATTGAAATATTATGTTAAAGCAATGCACTTCTAATATTCTTATTCATATTTTTTTCGATAATTAAAGTGTATCATTTTTTTTGTACGATCGTTCGAATCAGTTTATTGTGATTTAAGATTGTATCTAAACATGGAACAAACGCTTAGAATTCTGTTCTCTTTTTTGCGTGTATAATCTGTCCCGTACTCTTCTTTCTCTCTCTTTGCATTCCCGTCGTGGTCGTAAACAAAATGCGTAAAGAGCTCGGGACATCTAGTATATTTATCTGCTCTCGTAAACGGTCATGTGCTGATGTTTCTCTCGCTACTCTCGCATAATAAGATAGAAAAAAACAGAACTCTAAGAGATCCGTCCTATTATTCTTCGTTCACTTCGGAGCGAATGGAGGTCGAACGGGCCGAGGGATAAGTAATTCCGTCGATACCTCTTCCACCCATCCGACAGGAAAGTCGTTTTATTTAATCGTGAAAGAGGAAGGAAGGAATTTAGTCGTTCTACCCTCCCATCCGTCGACCATCCCCTTGGCCGCAAGAAGTCCTTCGTTCCCGATACGATTTCCGTGGAGATCTATCGAGGAGGTGAAATCGCGCGGCCGTAAAAAAATCTTGGACGAATAAATCCTGCAAATCTCCGTAATCGGATTAATCGCGTGAGACGAGAGAGCGGATCGCAGTATCTCTCTCGCGTCGATAAGAGATTTTATAAAAATCGTAACGCGTTCTTGTCGAACGGCTTTGCTAAAAACCCCGCTGATGTTAACGCTGAATATTGATTGTCTGTGTTGCAGAGAAATTCGATATCGCCCGCGGAGCGAGAGAAATACAGGCCGCGCAGTACGCCCGATCCGCAGCACGAACATATTTTGGGGAAGAAGATGAAGAAGGAGCACGACAAGGACATAGGCCATGTAAGTATCCAAGATTAGTGTTCCACGATTCGTGATTCGCGATCTGCCTTAATAAAGCCGTGCGTATTCTCCCCGACAGCAAAGCGATGGTGAAAAGAGCGACCAAGACCTGGTGGTCGACGATGCGAGCGAGGGTCCGACCAGTCCAGCGGCGAACGGCACCGCGTCGCCGAGGGAAAATGGTCTCGACAAGCTAGGCCCGTCTTCGGTACCTCTAAGTGGTCAGGTAAAGAAGGAGGTACCACCGCCGTCGCCTAGAAGCGGTACCAGTAGTAACGCGAGCACTCCTTCGGCCAAGAAAATGGAGGAACGCGAAAAACCGACGACGCCGATTTCGAAACCGGTTACACCCACGTCGGCAGGTCGGTATCGATTCATTAGTAACTGATGAAAGTACAAAAAAAAAATGGAGAAGAGCGTGGAGAGAAAATAACCAGGTTGGTTTACGATATCGTAGGTGGTAGCAGTTCTGGTTCCGGTGGCCTGAAACCATCGAGTTCTAGCAAACCGCTGGTCTCGGCCTCGGTGGTCGGTCCTTATCCTCCGCATTATCCTCCACCGCATCATCCGCCAGCGGGACCTCACGTGGACATGCTGGGCTATCCACCGGCGGCGCTCAACGGCTACCCTGCGAGACCACCTCTTCAACAGCTCTACGATCCCCACGCCAGCATGAGAGCGCCGCTCGGACCGCTCGGCGTGCCTCCCGGCGGCAAGCCGTGAGTGTTTTTCCTTTTTAACAATTTGCCATTTGTCTTACTCTTTTTTTACATCATCTTGTTAGTATATATATATCGCAATTTTCATGGGAAAATCTTTTTTTTTTTTTTTTTCATAGCAGTGCGTACAGTTTTCACGTGTCTAGCGAAGGCCAGATGCAGCCGGTGCCGTTTCCGCAGGACGCACTCATTGGCCCGGGCATACAACGTCATGCGCGTCAAATAAACACGCTCACTCACGGCGAGGTGGTCTGCGCCGTGACAATCTCGAATCCAACCAAGTATGTCTATACCGGTGGCAAGGGCTGCGTGAAGGTGTGGGACATCAGTCAGGGCGGTAGCGGTAGCGCGAAGCCAGTCTCCCAGCTCGATTGCTTGCAACGGGACAACTACATCAGGTCAGTGATGGGGTAACACGTGTCTTCATTCGCAGTTCGTGACACACATTAACTACCAACCGCGGTCGATGTAATTAATTTCCGACTGAATTCTGGATGACATTTAGTCGTGTCCGCCGGCTGTATATCATTCGTCGAAGCAACGCGGCATCGATTTACCGCGTACATTTTCCGTATGCATTTACCTCCCTCCTTTCCTCCTCCCCATCCTCGCGTATCAACGCGCGCGAAGGTAATAATTATTTAAAAGCGTGCATAAGTGGCGGTATTTAACGAGATTAACGTTAGTAATACAATGCTCGTTGTTCGATATCATTAGGTCGGTGAAACTGCTGCCTGATGGTAGAACGCTGATTGTGGGCGGCGAGGCGAGTAATCTTAGCATCTGGGATTTGGCGAGCCCGACGCCAAGAATCAAGGCCGAATTGACCTCCTCTGCTCCGGCGTGTTACGCCTTAGCTATATCGCCGGACTCGAAGGTTTGCTTCAGCTGCTGTAGCGATGGCAACATCGCCGTGTGGGATCTGCAGAATCAGACATTGGTTAGACAATTCCAAGGTCACACGGACGGCGCCTCGTGCATCGATATCTCCGCCGATGGCTCGAAACTCTGGACAGGCGGTCTGGACAACACCGTGCGCTCCTGGGACCTCCGGGAAGGCAGGCAACTCCAGCAGCACGACTTCACGTCTCAGATATTCTCCTTGGGATATTGCCCGACGGGCGAATGGTTGGCCGTGGGTATGGAAAATTCGAATGTCGAGGTACTCCACGCCACAAAACCAGACAAGTATCAGCTGCATCTGCACGAGTCTTGCGTCATCTTGTTAGTATATATATATCGCAATTTTCATGGGAAAATCTTTTTTTTTTTTTTTTCATAGCAGTGCGTACAGTTTTCACGTGTCTAGCGAAGGCCAGATGCAGCCGGTGCCGTTTCCGCAGGACGCACTCATTGGCCCGGGCATACCACGTCATGCGCGTCAAATAAACACGCTCACTCACGGCGAGGTGGTCTGCGCCGTGACAATCTCGAATCCAACCAAGTATGTCTATACCGGTGGCAAGGGCTGCGTGAAGGTGTGGGACATCAGTCAGGGCGGTAGCGGTAGCGCGAAGCCAGTCTCCCAGCTCGATTGCTTGCAACGGGACAACTACATCAGGTCAGTGATGGGGTAACACGTGTCTTCATTCGCAGTTCGTGACACACATTAACTACCAACCGCGGTCGATGTAATTAATTTCCGACTGAATTCTGGATGACATTTAGTCGTGTCCGCCGGCTGTATATCATTCGTCGAAGCAACGCGGCATCGATTTACCGCGTACATTTTCCGTATGCATTTACCTCCCTCCTTTCCTCCTCCCCATCCTCGCGTATCAACGCGCGCGAAGGTAATAATTATTTAAAAGCGTGCATAAGTGGCGGTATTTAACGAGATTAACGTTAGTAATACAATGCTCGTTGTTCGATATCATTAGGTCGGTGAAACTGCTGCCTGATGGTAGAACGCTGATTGTGGGCGGCGAGGCGAGTAATCTTAGCATCTGGGATTTGGCGAGCCCGACGCCAAGAATCAAGGCCGAATTGACCTCCTCTGCTCCGGCGTGTTACGCCTTAGCTATATCGCCGGACTCGAAGGTTTGCTTCAGCTGCTGTAGCGATGGCAACATCGCCGTGTGGGATCTGCAGAATCAGACATTGGTTAGACAATTCCAAGGTCACACGGACGGCGCCTCGTGCATCGATATCTCCGCCGATGGCTCGAAACTCTGGACAGGCGGTCTGGACAACACCGTGCGCTCCTGGGACCTCCGGGAAGGCAGGCAACTCCAGCAGCACGACTTCACGTCTCAGATATTCTCCTTGGGATATTGCCCGACGGGCGAATGGTTGGCCGTGGGTATGGAAAATTCGAATGTCGAGGTACTCCACGCCACAAAACCAGACAAGTATCAGCTGCATCTGCACGAGTCTTGCGTGTTGTCGTTACGCTTCGCTTCGTGTGGCAAATGGTTCGTCTCCACTGGCAAAGACAATTTACTTAATGCGTGGCGCACGCCGTACGGGGCCTCGATTTTCCAGGTTAGTTATTTTTAAAATTGTTAATCTTTTTTTAATCTATACTTTGCGTATACGATCTATTATTATCTCTCATTTCACAAGATGTAATATTCTAAGCGTTTCCATTTTACTTTTTTTCAGTCGAAAGAGTCATCCTCGGTGCTCAGCTGCGATATTTCTACGGACGATAAGTACATCGTGACAGGATCCGGCGACAAGAAAGCCACCGTCTATGAAGTGATATATTGAACCACACGTTGACTCGACGATACATTTGAACACTTACGCAACATCGATTAACGTTTCTTGTGACACTCAGTGTGATCGATTTATGACAGAGGAATTGAAAAAAGAAAATTAATTTCTTGTATGCGAAATGTGACTTGTATTTCAAGAAGTTGTACGGCGAAGTAATTGAATTAATTTGACAAGACTTGGTCGATGTACTATGGTCGCTATATTCAACAGGAATCCGAGTTAAATACCACGTTTCTGGTAATGAGTTCTTAAAATAGTCAAATTACCAGGAAATGGTATGTAAAAACATTATGGAGATATATAATTATATATAAAAGTTACGCAACATTGATTAAAGTTTTTCGTGACACTCAGTGTGATTGATTTATGATGGAGGATTTATGGCGTCTAGCTGTATAAAATTGTATAGAGTCTATGATCGTAAGTAGTATGAAGCGAATGAAATATGACAGGAACAAATGCGTGTAAGTACCCTCCGACTGTATTTAACGTGGGAGGCGATATGAAATCGCTTGTGTAATATGTTACTGATGTAATATAGAGTCATTACAATTAGGTTCTTTTGTGCGTGCGCGATTGCGAGGGGAAATGGAGCGAGGAATCGAGCGCGTTTCGTCAAACGAGATCGTTCTCATGCAGTAACGACGAAATGTATGTACACCGCGGTGAAATACCTGAATACGTACGGAATGCTGTTCTAGTGTCGTAGACTTGTCAAAATAGGGATGTGTATGTTGTGTCGCAGAATTATACATAATATATTGAGCACACATGTAGACAGACTGTTTACGTCATGTAGCGGAGGAATTGTAGGGCTATGAGAAATCGATAAGCATCGATCACGCTAACAGTGTTGAACGTACATCAACGCGCATGTTCATCGGCATCGAAGCCAATAATGTGATCTTTGACATTTCTACCACCGACAAGAGAAATAATTTGTACTTATTACACTTTCAGTTTTAAATAACGATTCTTTCATAATTATATGGCACTGTTGCGTCTGCCGTTAAGACTTTATTGTAATTGAGATTTTATAAACGTGTCGCGCGAATGGAGACAGTGATAAAAAAAAAAAAAAAAAAAAAAAAAAAAAAAAGGAGAAAAAACATCGATGAGCAGAAAAAAAAATAAAAAATAAAAACGGCGAAAGATACTTTTTGATCTTTTGCGGTAATTACGCGTATTAATTAGGAAACTGGCTTTCATACGGCTATCACACAAGCGGTATCGAATACAAATAGAAACTCTATAAGTTGCGCCCGTATGCGCGTGGATTCTTGATATAATGTACATTGTCTTGACTGCCATAATAGGCATATACATATACCACGCACACGGATATGTGCGTAAGTACACACTCCCACACACATACACGCACTTACATACATACACGAGCGAGCGGACCACGTTCGTGGACGGATTTTGCAGAATATTCGATAAAGTATTTTTGTGACTATTCATCATGACCCTAGGCTTAACCATCCGGTCGAGCGTGATCGACCACGTGCCCGTCTACATCGACTGCAACGACGAGGCGACATAAAACGAGGCGAGAGACACATTTGAGCAACTCTTACACTACTCTTCGGTGCAGTTTATAAAGCCAGAAGTGCGTCTGGACTTAGGGTACTAGCTAGCGCATTATTATTCGGAAACTGTATGGTGAAAGCGAGTGATGCGTAATGGAGATTTATATTTTGTTACAGGAAGGCACATAACATGTTGACATCGCTGTGATCGTCCGAAATTCAATTCCGCAAATACAATACTGCCGCGATAAAAACCTTAATAGACGAATAAAAACTTTGCAGGACATAATAACGTTCCACACACGTGCCGTTTAACGATACGCAGACTGACGAATCAATGAACGAGATTCGATTTTGGACGAGCACAGCTCCGATCATATAGACCAATAGAAACAACGATACCTCAAGAAGACTCAATAGTTAATTATCTCTAACTCATTGACTTGTACAGAATTGATATTCTTTTACAGTTGAGAATAACACACGCACTGTGGGAAAAAAAAGAGAAGCATTACGCGAGACAAAGGAATCGCATAGCCGCGATAATGATTGTGCCCCTCTCCCCCCTTTCTTCCCCGTCCCCCTTTTCGTATCGTATACATATATATGTATACCTATATATATATATGTTTAATTGCGTCTCCGTGCTCGCATTTTGCACTCCGTGAAAAGCGTACGAAAGCCGCCGTGGGAGAAAAAAAATATACGTTCGTAATAAACGGAAGACAAAAAGCGTTAATCTTTTTCCAAGCACTGTTCAAGTTGTTCCTATAGCTACGCGAAAATTGTTTCTTTCGGCAATTAAATCCTCTATATCTATATACAAGGATTGACATCATTATGTTCGCCGATTCCCATTCCATCGATCCTATCATCAATCGAATGCTTTATGATCCGACATGCTAGAAAAAAGTTACAGCAGTATCTCACTTTAAAACTTGATATTTTGAGTTTCTATTTTCGAAAAATTTGCCGATAAAAATTATGCAGCAACATACCGATGATTCTCTATTGATCAAGATATATTGATGTTATTCAAGAATATTGCTAGAAAAACTTTAGGGACGCGATTGTATCTTCAAAGATGAAGCTATTTAGAACAATCTTGAAAAGGATCTACAATTTTATCAATACCGATAACACGATCTTTACGATGATCTTACAAGAGAAAGAAATCGAATTCAAGAACGTTTCTGAGATAAATGGAATTTGCTCGAATGTATGGTATTGAACAAAATGTTAGCATTAAAAATTTGATTTTGCTTCATACGGCACAGATATAACTATCCGTTCATTGAACTCGCATACTGAATGAACACGTAAGCGGCGTGACTGCACGTGCATTCTGATGCATTCTGTGAATGGAAAATGTACTACCTCTCTAAAATCAATCGTATTATCGGAGTGCATTCAAAAATCCTACTCGCGAGGTAAAGTAGTATTGAAATTATCAACCAGGACAAAAAAAACTGTGCCTTTTATCCTGATTGGTCAATTAAACACTACTTTACCCTACGGGTAGGATGCACGTGCATTCTGATGCATTCTGTGAATGGAAAATGTACTACCTCTCTAAAATCAATCGTTGTATTATCGGAGTGCATTCAAAAATTCTACTCGCGAGGTAAAGTAGTATTGAAATTATCAACCAGGACAAAAAAAACTGTGCCTTTTATCCTGATTGGTCAATTAAACACTACTTTACCCTACGGGTAGGATTTTCGAACACATCCTCGATGGCACTGCAGACGCGCGCTTCAATATGGCTGACAGTAAAGGCACAGTAAACATAATATACATAAACTTGGAATTATAGAATTTTTGGCAAGCGTGTACGTTGAAGACAAATATTCACGATGAATATGTCCGTGGAGAAGAAGAAATACCCTTCGGCGTTGCCAATTAATTGGCACACACGAGAAGAACCGTCGAGGAAGAGCCAGAATCAGTTGACATCCACGGGGAAGGATTATTATTACGGGTAGATTGAATAAAATTATTTCGCAAAGAAACTTTATTCGATCTTGTGTGAAACTGTACGATTCGCAGATTCTTAAATATTCGTAAAACTGAAAAATTTCTTGCGCGAATGAATGAGTTTGAGTTGTAAGGGGTCCTAACCTCCGATGACAACTAATATCTTCTGTAAACTGACGACTTTTCTTTTTTCAGCCGGGCTAGAAATGACTCTTCATTGGTACCACCGATTAGACAAACGGCGTCGATTTTTAAGCAACCGGTGACTATTTATAAGACACAGGAAGGAAAAGTGAAAGATATTAAACATGGCATTCAAGAGAAACCAAAACAGGTTAGTTTATATGATTGTAGATTTGTTTGTACGCTAAGTGGACTGTGGATTAGTGTGATGTATCAATAAGCCAAATTCTTTTATTACATCTTTTATTACATTCTTTTATTTCATCTATTCACATGTACGGGTTACTCATATATATGACATCTAATAATTATTATACATTTGTAAATATATCTGCTAAAATTTTTTTATGTGTGGAAAGATTTTTAATCCTTGTATTATGTTTGCGAGACGCACTTTGTTTATATCCATTTGCTTATAATATTCTTCGTTAACTGTTCTTGTAAATTTACATGATACAACTGTCAAATCATTGCCTTAGGAAGGAGCCGATAAAACTGACGGCAAATATGGCTCCCAAGATAAGCCTAAGCAGGTAACTCTGAACATCATGAAATTGTCAATAATTATTTCTTTTTGTTATATTTTTAATGGTAAATGTGTGTTATTAAATATTTTATTAAATTTTCTTAATTATAACATCGAGAGGAAATTTTCTTAATATTTGAAAGCAAATAGAGAGAAAACTTGTAATTTTATGTTTCTTTCTTTGAATTTAGATTGGATAAATTAATTGGTATTCAACAAAATATGCCTATTGTAAACCTATATAACAAAAACACACAATAATCTAGTTTTATATAATTTTTATGTACTGAAAATGATATTTGTTTTTATAGTTTGTGGTATTTTATTAGTATAATAACGTGTTGCATGAAAAAATAGATTGATTAATCATAAATAATCAAAATTTCTGCCTTTCAGCTTTTCTGGGAAAAACGTTTAGAAGGTTTGCGAGCCTGTGATTCTGATGGTTATGAATTTGATGGGATGGACCTGCCAAAGAACTTAAAACCAGTGGGACCATATATCACGGAAGAAACTTTGCTTCAAAGTGTGGCCACTGCCTTACATGTATCTACTCAACCAGTTACGGGACAAACGGGATCGAAAATGGCTTTGGAGAAGAATCCTGGAGTGTTTCTCAATCCTGATCAACCACTTGTACAGGTAAAATGAATAATCGGACGCTAATAAGGCACCATAAGTGCATTTTAAAAATATATTATTAATACTATCAGAATAATTTGCATCAATATATATTACAAATCTTTATAAAGTTTTATTAATATTACCAATAAATTGATTATATTCCGTTTTGTGTTGAAGGCGGTCTCGATAGCGGATGAGGACATAAAAAGGCAAGAAGATCGAGTGGCTGTTGCGAGAAAAAAGTTACAAGACGCTTTACGTGCTGTTCAAACTTAAATTATAGAAACTTTATGTGTATCATTTGCTCATCTCTTAATTTTAAGTTCGTTATAAATTATATCATTGCCATTTTTTGTAATAAATGTTTTTGTAAAAAAAGAGAACGGGAAAGAGAGACAAAAGGTCGATAAATTCGATGAATGTTTAAAGCACGAAATTGACTGATTTTCTCAACATATATTTTAACAAAACTTTTCTAGATAAAATAAAGCCAACAATATGAGAGAATCAGTTATGCAGCTAATCTAAAATCTCTTGTACAGGTCAATTTGGCGAGTCGATTTTCCATTATAACTCGAGAATAATTTGTTTTTGTTTGGCGCTCCAAATGGCTTGGATTGTGCCATCTGCCTAATATTTCCTGTGACATGCAGGAAAACATCAAATTAGTAATGGTCACGAAAATAACAAATTTCTCGTATTTCGACAGATGGCAAAAGTGCCCTATTTGATATTCAATGTCAAACGGAAATGAATCAGTATTAAGGTAACACACTATGTAAAATTCAAGCAAATTACATTTTAAACACATTTCTGTCCAATCCAATACCGTAGCGTGCTTGCTTAATCTAGACTAGATCAAGATTATTTACGAAAATCAAGCTGACAAATCATCCATATTAATTATGCAAATAGGCGGACTTTTAGTCTAGCCTATGAAGGCCATGCGGGAATTGATCAATTTTGAAATATTTCTTTGAATTCAAGCGCAGCATGTCTCGTGACAAGAAAAATGGTTTATTATATTAATAGTTTATAATAAAACCTTTTTTGAATAATAATTATCAAAGAATAGAATAATAATACAAAAAGGGAAATTTTTTTTAGATTTTTCGGCTATGTAGACGTCTCTACGTATACGTATTATTTTTTGATATTCGTATCGTTTCTATAGAATCTTTAAGCATAAAAGCGTTGTATGCGGTACCTGGAGTGAAGAGTTTAACAAAGAATAGTCGGGAAAAATATGTAAATCATGGATTTTCTGCAAAAGATCTTTTAAGATAATTCTCTGAAAACTTTTGTTTTCCAAAAATTTTGTTTTGTCCAAAATTATTTTCTAGAGCTCATCTTAAATACATCAGTCACGTTATTAGAGATTTTAAGTCGTATATTGTGCCGAGTGCAGTTGTGTATCGAATGCTGCCATGGCCGTCCTCTGGGAATGGATGCGTGCCGAGGGCATCGTACAAAAGAATGCCCAGGCAGGTATACAGGCAGGCATCGGTTTTCAGGTAAGCATAAGCTGGGTACCAGGTGGTAACCTCTTTTTTTCTTCTTGCCCGGTACTTCTCCACCTCCGACCAACAGCTGTTTCCCTCCTCGCAAGGGTCGCTCTCCCTTATTGTCAACCAGACGGAGAACCATTCTCGCCCCACCGTCGTCGCCGGGGCACATGTCCCAGTTTAAATCGTTATAACTCGTCGAACACATGACTCGACCGATGATCCATCCGGTGCGGATATCGTATTATGGGCATCGGCAACGATGCTGCGTGCATCGTCGATTCGACGAAAATTCACAGTCAAATCGATGCTGCCTGCATCCTGAGTCTGCATCTCGAGCGATCAATAGCGCGCTATCGCGTATTCTTGCAATAATTTATGCGCATGGAGGCGACATCCAACTCACAAGAGAAAAGATAACAGAAATGCAGAAAAAAATAATAACAGAAGAATTGCATTGTAAAGATAATTATTAATCGTGGAAAATCATAATTTTTCACTAACACCGAGATAAATATTTAACGACTATCGGATAATTATAAGTGACTTATGCAATATTTACAATATATTATGGATATATATACATACACATAAGCATAAAATACTATATGTATATAATATATATGTATATATATATATAAATACATGTATATGTATATACGAATTATCTCTCATCTCTAGGAAAAAACTTTAGATACCTTATGGATTTCGGAGATTCAGGCATAGAATGCAGTTGAACTCCCACCGGAATTTCATATGTATAATAAATGACGCGCATGAATATAAATGTGGATATCATGCAACGAATGAGGAATTGAAATCGCCACGGGACACGTCCCGAAATAATCTCACCTACGTTCTACGTGCGCGTGCATAATTTACTGAATTACGGAAATTTTTGCGTCGCATTTGAGACCGTGCTTTGACCTGTCGATATCGATATCGGGCATATTCATGCGGCATTTAATTCCGTACCGTCGAACGCGCCGCGCCCGTTAAATTATCTCTCGACAGATTTTTAACGCGCGCTCCTTCAATGTACAATGCTCGATCCATGCGACAGTCGCGGCATCGCGTGTAAAGACCTTATCTGGAGCACATCGAAGATTACATCCCCCGCTGTCTTGGACGTAATATAGCCGACATATAAATAGACGCTCCTCTACGGTGTGTTATCGATCTTCGCGCAGACAGTATATTCGACCATCGGAAGTTGACCGACTTGACTATACTATTTGTATCAGGGTTACTGGCCGCGAAATATTTCGGATTTATCTACGCGAGGACAGAGCGATGCGCGATTTTAACATTCGCGAGATAACTCGTGGAAAATTGTCGTCGTGACGCAGCAAAAGTCGTCGACGTAGGGAACTACGTCGGTGGTTCGCGCAAAGGTCTCTGTGAGAGGAGGAGGCGTTGGTCCATCGCGCTTCGCACGGAAGAGAACAGCTGGGGGACCTTCGACTTCCAACGACGACTGTTATACGTAATCGATGTCGGCAGACTTTCTCTCTCGTGGACCTGCGAGAGGAGAGGAGAGCGAACGCGCCTAATAACCACGCCGCGCGATCGTGCTCTTTCCATTTTCACCGGGTCTCGATGTCGCGAACAGAAAATAACTCTCTTCCCCTCTTCCGCGTTTCCGCTTTTAATATACACCGTCGGCACAAAAGATAATAATTACATAAAGCATATAAATGAGTCGTCGTAAAAAAGAAGAAAAGAATATTTTTAGCTCCCTGCGATTTAAACTTTCATCGATTGCGTGAGCGTAATCGAGTCTTCTTTGTTACCGCATGCGAGATAATAATGCAAATTGTGTACGTTTCTTTGAAACGACTTCGCCAAGATGCGTTTTCTAAAGTGTTCGGGAATTATATAATATTTATAATATAGTTATTATATAAGAATTTATATAAAAAACAAATATATTTAATTAACTTCTTTTACAAATGCCAAACATGGTTCGATATTTTGTGACATTCGTTAGGCAATTTATTCGTTAGGAAATTTTTGAATCATTGTTCTTATTTGTGCGTAGAGATACGGGTACCTGGTAGACCTTGCTATGGTTCCGGTCTGGTTTATTGTTCGTTTTGTTTCGTAGAAAAAAAATATAGAAAAAGCAGCTCCATACGAAATCTATTGAATCGAAGTCTATTTGAAAACGACTTTTCTATGGGCACCCGCATTTTTTCTTTTTACTTTTCTCTTTTACTTTCTTGTTTTTTTTTTCAGTTTTAGATGAATGATATATACGCATCTCGGTGAATGATATATACGTGTATCCCCCCTGTTGTTTTGTAAATTTTGGACATGGAATCACGCGCGCAACAAATTATCGAAAATTACAATAGTTTACTGGAAAATTAATTAATTCATATACATTTTTCTATTTATGTTTTATATATATTATTTCATCTATTAATATATCTGTGTGTGTATATTTTATTTTATTTTATTTTAGAAAAACAAAATTGGACAAAATTTGATATGAAAAAAAGAAGGTACGGCTAAGGAAATTTTTATAGATATCTAATCAATATCATTATTAGTAATAATACATAATAATAATAATTTTATTGAGCAAACCAGAATGTATAAGTGTATATAAAGTTAAAAGTAATTATACACAATAGAAACAAGAAAGAAATATTACTCGAAATTTCGAGCAAAGCTTAATTATTAAGCAAGGCTTAATTTAAATTAGAAAAACACAAATAATTGCATATAATTATACAATATATAATAATATATATACAATATGTATAATATTTGTAATAATCTGTCTTTGTGAATAATAAATCCAAATTCTTTTCTACAGTTTCTCTTAAAGATCTACCCAAAGTGCCTGTGCTCACAGCAAGAGACGTTTCTCATTTCCTCAATAACGAAAAATTTCACTTCTTATTAGTTTCTAGAACTGAACAGCTTTATGGAAGATTCTCCTATTGTATTTTCTAAAAGCCGGCGCTTTCTGAGTTTTCCGTTTCTTGCGTTCAGATTCTCCGTTGTCACATCTGGATGCAAATAAATCTTGCTTCAGTCCTAACATGTTGTCGCCTTTGTATATATTGTTAAGACGCAATAAAATATAGAATTTGGATTTATTACTCAGATTTGTTCGTCTCGGCTGTAAAAGATCTTAGCTAGAGAGTAATATAATAAGCTAATATACATCTTGTATATTATCGAGATGAAGCGAGTCAACCGAATCAGCGCGCAAGGTTAAGCGCATTTAGATGCAACTCCAATAAGTGACAAGTGTTGTGTCTGCGGTAAGAAAGACACAGCAATATCCGCGAATGGATCAGAGTGCGAGTGCGCTCGCTTTGCGCGAGATATATTTAGAAAGGCGCTGCACTCTCTTTATCCGCGCTATCATCGGTTAACCACGCTATTTGTGTGTTTTCGCCCGTTGTGCAACTATCTTACGTACGACATCGTAGCGGTTTCGGTAGCCACAGAGATCTCCTGCCTTTTGCGTGCGAGCGAGCGAGTGTGTGGGCGACTGCCCGCGCGATTTTGTGGATAACCAGACATTAGACGGCCAATCAATATCGGGCGCATTGCGAGATAATTCGATGCCAATATCGTATTAGTTCTCTCGGATCGCCTCGAGAAACGTGAAAGCGGAATGGCGTTTAGTTAGTCGATTCACGAAAGCTTTATGTAATCGTACCGCTGCGCCGTAATTGACATACGCAATTTTAGCGAACTCTCTTCTCGATAATCGAACAATAGAATATTACAATTTCACTTGATAATACGGTTTATTTATATACCGAATAAAAATTACAAACAGTATCGAGATGATTCGCCTCCGACGTCGTCGTCCTCGTCGCCGGTGTCGACTCAGAGCCTAGCAATGCGGTTCTCCGGTGTTGCTGCACCCCGGCGATCGAAATCGAAAGAAATATCCTCTCCGCGGACCCCCGCTTCGCGTACACGCTTATATATATATATATATATACATGCGAATACGCGTACGTAGGTACGCGGCCGCGGTGCGTCTATCCGCGCGTGTATATCGGCGAGGACGCGCGAGGCGCACCACGGGAGTCGCCAAAGCAACGACAATGATCGCAACCGGTTGCGCGCCGTAAAAATACGACGAGCGACGCGGAACAGAAGAGAGGAGTTTGTTTAATGCGTCGACTGGGGCCAGAAAAGCGACGCAAAACGCATGCTTTCAGCATCGATTGGCATCGGCCACATGGTTCGGCACCGCCTGGGCTCCGAAACAATTTTCTTTTTTCAGGTATAGGCTCAGAAATTCTTAGGAGGGACAAGAAAGGATTACGG